TGGCTTGACTAACTGAGGGGCACCTAGCCAACCCAGGAACAGAAGCCAGGCCTCAGGACAGCCAGGCTGAGGCCCGACTCACTGGAGCACATTGCCCCTCCTTTGGGGCGCATCATCTCTCTCCAGTTTACCAATGAGGTGAGCAAACCCAGACACCCTCACTCCTCCAGGGAGCAGGCCTGTGGGTGCGGGGGTCTCTTTGGGAGGCTTCCACTCACTGCCCTGATCTTCATGGGCTTTTGTCCCTTTCCCTCCAGGCCTCATGTCGTGCTGTCTTCACTCAGCGCTCCTCCTGCCTCAGCTCCCTGCATGGAGAGAGCTCCTGCTCCCAGTGACACTGTACCAAACCCAGCTAGTGCCCAGAGCAGGACTGGATTGGGAATGGGAGGAGGAGGAATAGAGAGGCCGGGCAGGGCTTTGCCTAGGGTTTTCAGATTTTACAGATAAAATAATCCCAATGTAGGAGTGATTAGCATGTGGCTGGTTTACAGGGTGACCTCCAGAGATAAGGTCAGGCAATGGGCTGCGAGCTACAGTGCTGCCCTTGAGATCGAAATCTTTGACTGCTGTAGCATTCCTTAAACACAGGGACAGCAGAAACTCCTGGATGTATACAGCTCTGTGGATACAAGCCAAGACCACGTCCCTTCTCTAGCTGCTGCACAATGGGCTGATGGTAGCTCATTGCTTGAATTAGTGTTTTCGTTTCTACTGATACAATTTAGTGAAGACATGGAATTTCACCAAAGCCCAGATCCTTTCCCTCTGCCATGCAAGCTCAGACTGGCCAGAGCCTTTGTAAAGAGCAGGGCAGCTCAGCTGACAAACAGGACAAAGGAGTTTATAGATGTGGAGACACTGACAACCTTGGGATTGTTAGTATTCAGTGCAGACAACTGAGAATTGTCCTCTCTCAAATCCTTTAACTAGCAAAGGCACCTGGTCTGTTGGAGGTCACTGGACAGGAGGCCAGAGCTAGGGGGCATAGAATCATAGAATTTCAGGGTTGGAAGGGACCTCAGGAAGTCATCTAGTCCAATCCCCTGCTCAAAGCAGGACCGATCCCCAATTAAATCATCCCAGCCAGGGCTTTGTCAAGCCTGACCTTAAAAATTTCTAACGAAGGAGATTCCACCACCTCCCTAGGTAACGCATTCCAGTGTTTCACCGCCCTCCTAGTGAAAAAGTTTTTCCTAATATCCAACCAAAATCTCCCCCACTGCAACTTGAGACCATTACTCCTTGTTCTGTCATCTGCTACCCCTGAGAACAGTCTAGAGCCATCCTCTTTGGAACCCCCTTTCAGGTAGTTGAAAGCAGCTATCAAATCCCCCCTCATTCTTCTCTTCCGCAGACTAAACGTCCCCAGTTCTCTGAGCCTCTCCTCATAAGTCATGTGTTCCAGCCCCCTAATCATTTTTGTTGCCCTCCGCTGGACTCTTTCCAATTTTTCCACATCCATCTTGTAGTGTGGGGCCCAAAACTGGACATACATACATGGACATACATTCATAGTTACAACGTCCCATGCAGGAGACGCTATTTGACAGAGATTGGTGACTAGCTGGGGTGCAGTTCCACCAAAATCATGAGTCAGGCCCCCAAAACCATGAGAGTGGCTTAAAAATCATGAGATTTTAAAACCAGTCACCATTGGGCTCTTTATTCTTCTGCTTCCTGAGCCTTTTGGCAGTGGCGGGGTGGGGGGGTCACATGTTCAAGCTTTTCTCCACAATCACAAGAGCAAGAAACTGCCATGTAGGTCTTTTTAACTGAAAGCTGAGATTCAAACCTAGTCCCACAACTCCAGAAGCTGGGGCTTTAAGAAACCCCCAAATATCACAAGAGCTCAGACTGGGCTGACCGAGCCAAGCAGGATTGCTGCTTTTAGCAAACACGGGAGCCTTCTGTAGAAATGAACACAGGAACAGAATGCTAGTTAATTTAGGTTGAAATTCAACCCAGTGCACAATGCTACATGCTCCATGCAAGCCCTGTGTGAAGGCAATGAGGAGGTAGGGGCAGGCTTGTTTTGGGCGCTCTGTACCAGGGGAATCGTGTCCTTTGTGCTTTGGATTTGTTGCCACTAGTCACAAGGGGAGGGCATGCTTTGCCAGTCATGCTTTTCTCTCGTTCAGGGGGGCCAGTTTGTTCAGCGGGGCCAGAGCATCGCCCTGCAGCACACAGCAAGGTTAGGAGGACAGAAAAAAAATGTCTCCAACACACTGAACCATGCTGTAGGGCTTGAGGTAAAAATAGACACTTCAGAAGGTAGCAGCAAAGGCCTTTGGCCAATGAAGCATATAGGGAAAGGCACAGAAAAGTGAGCTAAGGAACATAAAAAACGTAGGTGTAAAGGCACCTCCCAGGCCAGATTCATGGAAAGCAAAATACCCTGGGGCTCCATGTCTGGGAGAGGAAATGGCTTGTGTCTGTTGTCGGAGGCATAAGAAACTTTCTGCATTAGGTGGATTTGTGGGAGTGGGGATAAGACTGTAGGGCTTTGGCTTCACTGAAGTTAATGCGAGTTTGGCCAGGATTTCACCTCTAGAATTTATTCTGCTATTCCTGCAAAAGACATGGAAGAAGTAAACTCTTTGTCCCCAAGAACTCTGGTGAGATATACCATACAAAATCTGCCCTCATCAGCCCACAAAACAGCTGGGCAAGGCTATGCATGCCTCTGAGGGTCTGTGCACTGCCATGGCTGGCCTGTGCAGGCAGAGTAAGGCTGAGTCTGCTGTTTCACTGTGATGCAGCCGTTTGGGCTCCTGCTGGAGCTCAGGCTCTAGAATCCTGTGAGGTGGGAGGGTCCCAGAGCTCAGGCAGGACCTACCCTGCAAATGAAACAGCCCCACACCCCAAGTCAACTGGCCCAGCAGCCCTGGGTTTTTAATTGCAGTGCAGACACACCCTTTTGGAAGTATCTCAGAAATGCATACAGAAGCCAGGCTTATTACTGCATTTGCACTGGGGGCCCCTAAGAGCTCTGTGGATGAGCACAAGTTGGTGCATGTTAGCGTTACGGGCAGGATGGAGAGCTGGTACTCACTTTGCTGATCATTGGTTTGGGATCTAGGGCAGCCCATGGAATCATCCAGGAAATACGAACAGCTTTAGGAGCAGTTGGGATCAAGGCTGAAGAGCTCAAGTCAAACCTGGCTGGGCCAGATTTCAATGGAGCTGCAATGAGCATGGGTTGTGAAGGCCATGCTTAGATACAACCCTCCTCACATTACTGCTGTGCATCACATCAGTGGCAGCCACGAACTTGCTCTTCTGGATTGTGGGAAGGATCCTTGCCAGCATAAACACCAACCACCCATTTATTTCAAGAGCCACTTCCAAGTGTTGCTAATTGATCCCGCAAGGCTCTGAGCACCTGAGCCACCCCAATGACTTCAAGGGGCTGGGCATATGCTGTACCGCTTTGCTGGGCCAGCAAGCCCTAGCAGGCTATTTCTGACTGGGGTCCAGATACAGAACGCATCTACGGACATGGTCACAGGGAGCACTCAACAGAGAGAGCAGGTAGCATAGACCTGGTCCTTGTGGATCACGGGAAGGGAATGCCAGGCCTAGCTTTCTGCCATGAACTTTGTGCTGTACGTTGCTCTGGGGCTGCCACGAGTTTGTTTTCTCTGCATGCAGAGAAATGCAGTGGAGTCTGTCTGACTGCCAGGGCAGCTGCATGCTGGGAGGCCATGGAATGCAAACCGAAAAGTGATTTTTGCAACAAGAAAGTTTTCTCAGGTATCAGAGAAGGACAATGGAGGGAATGACCAAGGGGTGTATGCCAGCTATGAGGTGTATTAGCGGCAGGAAAATTTAATTAGGCTATGTCTACACTACACAGCTTTTCGCGACATGGCTTTGTCACTGCAGTCGTGCCGTGTAGCCGCTGTTTGTTGGCTCTCCTGCCGACAACAAACTTCCCCACCCCCAACGAGCGGCCTTTGTGTTGCTGGTAGGAGAGCGCTCCCGCTGACAGTGTGCTATTCACAGCGGCACCTATCACGGCAAAACTTTTGTCTTTCGGGGGCGGGGGTTAACACCTCTGAAAGACAAAAGTTTTGTCATTCAATTGCCAGTGTAGACACAGCTTTAGTTGCAAACCTGTGGCTGGTAGACAGGAGACTGTCACACGGCATTTAGAAGACTTTTGTGGGGCTTGGATTCTGACATAAGTTGAACCATATGATCCAGCTTTAAAGAGCCCCTGGACCTGAGACATGCAGCACGTCAGGGAGAGGCACACAATCTGCGCTCTCTCTCTACTAGGTGCTTTGTTTTTCTCCTGTCTTGCTTTTCTTCATGTGCCAGTATATTTATGCTTGTATCTGTAATTTTCACTCCATGCATCTGATGAAGTGGGTTTTTACCCACAAAAGATTATGCCCAAATAAATCTGTTAGTCTTTAAGGTGCCACCGGACTCCTCGTTGTTTTTGTGGAGACAGACACACGGCTACCCCTCTGATACTTGTCTTGCTTTTGTTGTTTTCCTGAATCTATGGCCAAACCATTCAAAGGGTGAGTACACCAGTTGCTCTGTGCATGTGGGGAAAGGTGGCAAACCCTTTGCCTTGGTCAGGCTGGAACCATCTGCTCCCCTAGCCCCACTCTCCCTTAGGAATAGATTTGGCAGTGGTGTTCTTGCTCATCTGTTCGTTGCAGTTTACATCTTTTCATTCTCCGCCAGCTGAAGCCAAACTCTCTGCTGTTCCTGGGGAGCTGGGAGGGTTGCAAAACTGGGTAGGAGCCACTGTTTCTGCTGTGAGAGTTTTTGGCATTGGAAAGCAAACAGCTAAAGTCAACAGCAGGGAGCAGTTTGTGGGTACCCAGCCCCCAGCCTGCCCTTTGCATTTCAGAGTCTGCTGCTCACTGGCTCACTCCCTCTTGCATAACCCAGCTCAGCAGGGGAGTGATGAGGGCTGGCATTTGCTAGTGCTATGTTTTCCCACCCTGGGGATGTCAGCTGCCTCCCAATAAATAGGGGGCTGCACTGGGGCTCCTGCTCACACACAGCCTGCCTCTCTCCCTCCGCTCTGCACAGAGCTCAGCTCCAAAGGGCCACAGGGAAGGGAAGAGACAGAAGCATGCAGGCCACGCTGCTCAGCCTCCTGGGGCTGGCCCTGTTTGGTGCTCTCCATGGGCAGGAGGAAGTCACCGTGCAACCCGACTTTCAGCAGGAGAAGGTAACCTGGCCCATCTGTGTGTGCCCATGCCCAGAGGATTGGCTCCCTTCCTTCTCTTTTCAGAGGCAGGGATGGATCTGGATCCTGATTCCAACCAGTTCCGAGAGCAGGGCAATTCAGAGCAGAGGGTGGTTCAGGCCCTTATGAAGGCGGCTGGTGCCCAGCTGAGAATTGGGGTCCCACGCTGGATTTGGGTGCTGAACTCCCCTCCCCCCAGTTGAGAGTGTTTGGATCTGGGGTTCTGATTCAGCCCAGTGTAGGAGAGCTGGAACATTTGGATCCAGGTTCAGATGCTGAACCTCCAGTGTGTGGGGCTGTGCAGCGCAGAGCGGCTTGGTCATCTCTAGAGTGGAGGGTGGCACTTGTCTGGGCACAGAGGGGGCTGGCAGGGTCAGGGCAGGCTGAGCAGAGCCAGGTGGGCAGGTTATTCCCAATAATCAGCCAGTAGGAAGGTTTTTATACCTTCCTCTGAAGCAGGTCTGGCCCAAGGCAGGACCCTGGGCTTGCTGCAGCCAGGTCTGGCCCGCCCTGGCAGTGCCCGTGGTGACTGGGGTCTGTGTGCAGTTCACAGGGAAGTGGTATAGCATTGGCCTGGCCTCCAACTCCAGGTGGTTCAAGGAGAAGAAGCAGGTGCTGAAGACGTGCACCACGGTCATCACGCCCGCAGCAGATGGGAACCTGAATGTCACCTCCACCTACCCCAAGTAAGGCTGCCGGTGCCACTGGGGCCCTGCCCTGCCTAAGGGGGAAGGGCGCCATTTCCACCTCACAAAGGCTCGTCCCACCCCCTTCCCAGGGCCCAGCTGGCGCTGGGGGGTCCTTCACCCAAGGGATGCTCTTGTCCCCTCCCCCCCACACCAGTCCCAGGGAGACCCCAGGTGGGCTTGGGGTCCTGTCCCCATCTTGACATGGACAGGGGGTGTCTGGTGCCCCTTGCCTGCAGGTCTGGGCAGTGGGGGGCCACTTGGGCCGGGCACAAGCAGCCTTCTCCTCCCTGTTATGCCCTGGAGCAAGGGCAGGGCTCAGTCCCAGGGCCGGGGCTCAGGGAGTGCAGCGATGGTTCCCTCCTAGCACCTCTGGGGTGCAAACTGCCCTATGCGAGGGAAGCCCGGCCTCCCTGAACTGACCAGACTCTTGCGGGGAGATCTGGCTGCCTGTGGCTCAGCCCCTCCTGGAGCCTCCAGGGTGTCAGTCACAGCCTGGCCCTGTCCAAGCAGCAGGCCCCAGCCAGGAGTCCTTGGAGAGTGCTGCGACCTCCTTCCGGGGGGAGTGGAGGAGGGCTGCCAGGCACAGCATCCTGTCCCTGCCATGGGAGGGCGGGGCTGGGTTTCCCTGGAATACTCCGCCTCTGACACTCCGTATTGCCCCAGCCCCAGGATTCCGACTGGGTCTCCACCCCACTGCTCCTCTCAGTTATGATTCCCAGCTTAGCTCAGCAGGCTCTGTTTCTACTACCGCCCACATGGATTGTTGTGGGTCAGAGAGAAAGCTCTCCTGTGGGAGTCCAAAGAATGCTTTGCCCTCCCAACCGAGGCTCTCAAAGCACTCTGGAGCCATTAATTAGCTCCCATAACCATTAAGTCAGTCAGGGTCTCCCTGTTTCACAGATGGGGAAACTGAGGCACAGAGAGGGGATGGGACAAGATCAAACAGTGAGTCATTGTCAGAGCTGGGAATAGATTTTAGGAGACCTGATTCCTTGATTCCCTGTCCCTACCATGTGATGTGGATGCCAGGTGGTGGGATGGCTGACTGGCTCTCTAGATGGGGCTGTAGGAGCTGGTAATGGGGGGGCAATAAGGGCTGACGTGACTCTGTCGGTTTGGGGGGTGACACGGAGGCTCGCTCCAGATCACGCTCCACCAGCGTACAGAGTCCTGGTCTCCAGCAGCAAGGCCAGGTGCCCGGAGTCCTTGCCAAGCAGGCTCAGCACATGGTGACAAAGCAGAGCTGATCTTAGTGAAGCTGCTGTCTGAGCAGATTTCCAGGGCCAGTGCTGGAGGATCCCGACTTGGGCTCTTGTGCCCCCTGGAGGGGGTTTTCGGTTCTCTCTGCAGTCTGTGCAAGGCAGCAGCATGGCGGTCGCACCTCTCAGCTTGCTGCACACCCGAGGGTGGGGTCTGGCTGGCAGGGCCGGCTCTAGGCACCAGCAAAGCAAGCACAGGCTTGGGGCGGCACAATTCCAGGGGCGGCGTCCGGCCCCCCTGTTTTTTTTGGTTTTTTGTTTTTGCCTGGGCAGTTGTGCTCTTGGAGCTTGGGGCGGCCCTGCTGGCTGGTGGAGTTTGGGGGAATTTCAGCTCTCCCCGCAGTGGCCGTATGGCGTCAGGCATTGCTCACCAGCTGGACGCTGGATCTCCCTCCGCTGCTGGGGGCAATGGGAAAATCGGAGTCTTCCCTCAGCCTGCTAACGTGCTTGTTTCCTGCCTTTCCCACACACTGCCCAGGTCTGATCGGTGCGAGAAGAGGACCAGCCTTTTCATCAAGACGGACCAGCCAGGCCGATTCAGCTACACCAGCCCACGTGAGTGCATGTATTTGCTGCTGTAGCTCCATTGCAGCATCCCGCCCTGCCCTGGCACGCCGCGCCCTGGGCAGTGCCCGCAGCTGAGAGCAGGACAGTCTGCCCCTTTGTTGGCCAGGATGGCCAGGAGTCACTAGATAAATAAACTCACAGCTTTCTCCTGAGAGCCCCCTTCCAGCTCCAGCCCAGCCCAAAATGGGAGCAGATTTAGCACAAGGATTTAGAGCTGTTAGCACTTAACTGTGCAAGAAAAGAGATTGAGGAGCTCAGCCTGGGAATGGCTCCTGTGCTAGGCGTCCAACTGCCGTTGGAAAAGGGTGTGTGCAATGGGCCAAGGCAGAGGGCATCGAGTGCCATCAGGGCTGGGTTCCTGTCCCCGCTGACCCCCACTCTGCCATGGCCTGACTCAGGGGTGTGAGAACTGTGAAGTCAGTGGGAGCGGGAGGTGCAGGGCACCTTGGCTAATCAGAGCCCTGAGTTTCAGTCATGTCTGCAGTTTTTGACATGGATCTGTCGAGTAACCGTGCTGGTCTCTACGAGTCACCGCTGCAGAGCCCCCCGTCCTGTGTCTGAGTATCGGGGAGAGTGACAGGACCATTTGGATTGGCTGGGCAGGGGGCACCTAACTCTCCTCTTAGGAGGACAAAATTGTGTCTCTAGAACCAAACGCTGCCTGGGGAGATCAAAGTCACGCCGCATGGGGGAGCCATTGTGAAGAGCGCACTGCCCTGCTCCGGCCAGCGCGCCCTCACATAGGGCACAACCCTGTGCTCTTCAAAATGGCGTCCCCAGTCCAATATTGGTACCAGATAGGGGACAAACGACCCAAAGAGAGGGTTGTGGGGCTCAGAATCGGGGGCGCAGCCCTCCTACCAGCTGGCGTGAATTGGCTCCGCTCGACTGGAGTCAATGCCTGTTTACACCAGCCGAAGGGCGGCAGGCCGGGGAGGAGCCCCGCTCATTAGCTGGGGGTGTCGGGCCCGGGGGGGGGAGGAGCCCCTCTCATAAGCTGGGGACAGCAGGCCTGCGGGGGAGCCCTGCTCCATATATATACTGGTATCTGTGCTTGCTCATCTCTGCCCTGCGCCTCTGTCCATGCCCCCTGCAGGCTGGGGCAGCCAGCACGACATCCGTGTGGTGGAGACCAACTACGATGAGTACGCCCTGCTGTACACCAAGAAGTTCAAGGGCACCGACACCTTCACCATGGTGACTCTGTACGGTACGTGGCACCTGGATCCAAGGCCCAGGGGTGGCACCTCTGTCCTGCACATTGGGGAACTCTGCCGGCAGAGATCAGGGCTCCCCTTCAGCCCCCATCTGAGAGACACCCTCCTTCCACTCTACATAGCTCTGTTTTGAATTTCTGCAGGATATGCCCTGAAGAAGTGGGGGCTCATCCCCCAGGAAGGAGTTGGGTGGCGTCGTGGGGCCCTGCAGAACCTGAGGCTCTGCCCCAGAGCCCAGTGGCAGGGCAGTGGTTGTTGTGCCCCGAGCTGAGGCAAGGCTGGTTGTGATGCATAGAAAGGGGATTTGCTGGTGAGGCTGCCGGACACAGGCCCTGTGTTGTGGGTCAGTGGTGCCTAGTGCTAACACACAGGCTGTCATGGACGGGGCTGATTGTAGCAAGAGGGGCTCATTCTCACCCGGAGGTCTTGATTCCCTGGCTGCAGGCAGAACTACGGAGCTGAACCCTGAACTACAGGAGAAGTTCACCCAGTTCTCCTTGGTGCAGGGGCTCCCAGAGGACACTATTCTCCTCCTGCCAAAAACTGGTAAGAACAAACCATAGGTAAAAAGACAAGAGATAAGATTGGGAGAAATGCCCTGTGGAGCTCAGGAGCTGAGGGTGCACTTGGCAAGCCTGTCTGTAATGCAAACTGCTTGTGTGCTGTGTTCCCAGCCGTGTAGCCTAGCCAATGTTCCCTCTAATTTTTTACATCCATGTGCGGAGTACGTGTGCACCAATATGGAGGTGATATGTGACGGGGTGGGGCTGAGGGGTTTGGAGTGTGGGAGGGGGCTCAGGGCTGGGGCAGAGGGTTAGGGTGAGGGGCCAGGGATGAGGGGTTCTGGGTGCAGGAGGGGGCTCAGGGCTGGGGCAGAGGGTTAGGGTGTGTGTCGGGGGGGTGAGGGCTCTGGCTGGAGTTGCGGGCTCTGGGGTGGGGCTGGGATGAGGGATGAGGGTTGCAGGCTTCCCCGGGGCTGCAGCATGGAGAGAGGACTCCCCCCAGCCCTCTCTTGCTGCAGCAGCCCGGGGCCGAGGGAGAGGCACCTTTCCCCACCTGCGTGGCCCTTGGTAGCCTGCAGGGTGGCCACACAGTTTAGAGGGAACTTAGGCTCTAGCCCAGCCTTATTCTATGTAGGTGCCTCAATCTGGCCATCTGTGTCCAAAGAGAGGCTCCTAAATTTGGCCCCCACAGACTTGATTGGAAATGGAGGGCGCTCAGTGCCCCTGAAACTCACTGGCACTGTACACAGTCCCTTAATCATCCAATAACTCCAGCCGTGCTGGACGGTGCCTCCATTGCTCTGAACCAGAGGGGAAACTGCTGAGCCACTTGGCAGCATGGGCCAAGCACCATCATGTGAAGGAGCGTGTGACTCTTACATATATGGCCAGGCAAATGGGGGCTCCAGAGGCCAGGAAATGCTCCCAGCTTGTCTGAGCAATCTAAAGCTCAGGGCTCCTGTGCCCAAGGCTAGGATTTAATGTGAGGTGATGTCCGCAGCAGCTAGCTGGTGCTAGGGAGCTAGGTCCACAAGCTCTACCGAAGAGATGATCCTCACTTTGGACTAGCTGCTGCACTCATGGACACTGGTGCATAGAATCATAGAATCATAGAATATAAGGGTTGGAAGGGACCCCAGAAGGTCATCTAGTCCAACCCCCTGCTCAAAGCAGGACCAATTCCCAGTTAAATCATCCCAGCCAGGGCTTTGTCAAGCCTGACCTTAAAAACCTCTAAGGAAGGAGATTCTACCACCTCCCTAGGTAACGCATTCCAGTGTTTCACCACCCTCATAGTGAAAAAGTTTTTCCTAATATCCAATCTAAACCTCCCCCACTGTAACTTGAGACCATTACTCCTCGTTCTGTCATCTGATACCATTGAGAACAGTCTAGAGCCATCCTCTTTGGAACCCCCTTTCAGGTAGTTGAAAACAGCTATCAAATCCCCCCTCATTCTTCTCTTCTGCAGGCTAAACAATCCCAGCTCCCTCAGCCTCTCCTCATAACTCATATGTTCCAGACCCCTAATCATTTTTGTTGCCCTTCGCTGGACTCTCTCCAATTTATCCACATCCTTCTTGAAGTGTGGGGCCCAAAACTGGACACAGTACTCCAGATGAGGCCTCACCAATGTCGAATAGAGGGGAACGATCACGTCCCTCGATCTGCTCGCTATGCCCCTACTTATACATCCCAAAATGCCATTGGCCTTCTTGGCAACAAGGGCACACTGCTGACTCATATCCAGCTTCTCGTCCACTGTCACCCCTAGGTCCTTTTCCGCAGAACTGCTGCCTAGCCATTCGGTCCCTAGTCTGTAGCTGTGCATTGGGTTCTTCCGTCCTAAGTGCAGGACCCTGCACTTATCCTTATTGAACCTCATCAGATTTCTTTTGGCCCAATCCTCCAATTTGTCTAGGTCCCTCTGTATCCTATCCCTCCCCTCCAGCGTATCTACCACTCCTCCCAGTTTAGTATCATCCGCAAATTTGCTGAGAGTGCAATCCACACCATCCTCCAGATCATTTATGAAGATATTGAACAAAACTGGCCCCAGGACCGACCCTTGGGGCACACCACTTGATACCGGCTGCCAACTAGACATGGAGCCATTGATCACTACCCGTTGAGCCCGACAATCTAGCCAGCTTTCTACCCACCTTGTAGTGCATTCATCCAGCCCATACTTCCTTAACTTGCTGACAAGAATACTGTGGGAGACCCGTGTCAAAAGCTTTGCTAAAGTCAAGAAACAATACATCCACTGCTTTCCCTTCATCCACAGAACCAGTAATCTCATCATAGAAGGCGATTAGATTAGTCAGGCATGACCTTCCCTTGGTGAATCCATGCTGGCTGTTCCTGATCACTTTCCTCTCATGCAAGTGCTTCAGGATTGATTCTTTGAGGACCTGCTCCATGATTTTTCCAGGGACTGAAGTGAGGCTCACTGGCCTGTAGTTCCCAGGATCCTCCTTCTTCCCTTTTTTAAAGATTGGCACTACATTAGCCTTTTTCCAGTCATCCGGGACTTCCCCGGTTCGCCACGAGTTTTCAAAGATAATGGCCAATGGCTCTGCAATCACAGCCGCCAGTTCCTTCAGCACTCTTGGATGCAACTCGTCCGGCCCCATGGACTTGTGCACGTCCAGCTTTTCTAAAAAGTCCCTAACCACCTCTATCTCCACAGAGGGCTGGCCATCTCTTCCCCATTTTGTGATGCCCAGCGTAGCAGTCTGGGAGCTGACCTTGTTAGTGAAAACAGAGGCAAAAAAAGCATTGAGTACATTAGCTTTTTCCACATCCTCTGTCACTAGTTTGCCTCCCTCATTCAGTAAGGGGCCCACACATTCCTTGGCTTTCTTCTTGTTGCCAACATACCTTTCATGCAAATCCCTTTGAGTCAATGGTTTTGCGTCCAAGGGGACTGTAGCATTCATCTCTTTGCAAACCCTCAGCTAAATGATGACTCTTCTGTCTGGAGTTTAACCTGCCTGGAATGGGAAGGATGCCGGCCCGTGAATGCCAGCCCCTCAGGCACCCAGGCTGTGCTAGTGGAATCAGGCGCAGAAAGCAGCAAGGGCCTATCCTCACTGCTGGCAGGTCTGGCAGCCCCCAGACCGGTTCCATGGGAGCTCAGCTCACTGCACACATTGGAGGGCAGAGGAGATGGCCGAGGAAGGGATTTGCCCAGAGCACCCGGCACCTGCACTCGCCCCACCACAGCAGACAAAAAAATCTTGCTAACTCTTGCTTGCAGGAATGACCATTACCTGTGTCACCCTGGTGCAGTCAAGGGGGCAACTAGTGAGCGGACGGCACTGTTGGGCTGAGGTTTCAGGGGGAGGCCACCCAGTTTACCCTTCCGTTGCAGGCCTGGTGTTTGCATGGCACATGGGTTCCTGGCTGAGTAGAGGTCACCTCCCATCCTCCATTCCAGGGTCTCAGACCTGCAGCTCAAGCTGGGGCTATGGGATATATCCATGACAAGAAGAAGCCAATGGAGACCTCTGGATGGAAATTAAGTCACTGTTCAGGGTTGTTCAGGCTCAGTCCTGCAAGGGACGGAGGGGGCATGAGAACTGCCCTCGGGTGAGGGAAGGCTATGAGTCGAGTGGGAGGGAATGGCAGGGGGACCACTAGTTGCATTGGGGTGGAGCTCAGCACAAGGACAGTCATGTGGGCTCCGCAGGCTGTGGAAGAGCCTGGCCAGGGAATACTGGGGAACAGCCTGTGTGGAACAGTCCTGCCTTAAGGCCCATCAGCTCACTAGGTCTTTTCCTAGTGACCTTTCTATGGCGCTGCCCAGGGCGAAGGTCATCAGCCACTCTACCGAGCTGTGAGGTTCAGCCCTAGCTGCAGCAGCCCAGCCGTCTCCTGACGGCAGGGGGATGTGCAATAGTGGTGACGTCTAGTCACCAAATGTGTTTAAAGTAGGCAAACACATTGGAAAGGAGGCAGGCCAGGTCCTACTCCCTGGACAGAGAGCCCAGCAATGTCTGGGACTAATGGGACTGGCTCGGGACAAGCAGTGTGGGCAAACTGCAAAGCTTCTTGGAGTAGCAAAGCACTGCAGTGCCCTGCCCCCTGCTAGTCCCTCTGCCATTGCCCCTCCGTCCTGACCCCCTGCTCTTCCAGCCCTGCCCCATGCACAGCTCAGCCTATGCCCTTCCGTCCTGACCCCCTGCTCTTCCAGCCCTGCCCCATGCACAGCTCAGCCGATTCCCCTCAATCACGACCTGCAGCTCTCTGCTATTCCAATCCTGCACTGAGCAGGGACATTTAATAGTGCCTCAAATTGTGCTTGTGTCTTTTTAATGGGAACAGAAGAGGCTCGCCCCAACACACCTTTAAAGAAATGTCAGCTGCCTGCTGCACGTGCCAGGGTCTATGACAGCTGGTCTTTGACAGCAGTGCTCCCTCACAGGAAGTGCTGTTGGATTGGCTTTCTCTGTTCTCACAGCCCTTCCGTGGGGGAAGGCACTCTGCTTTCTGCCCCACAACTGACCTGAGGTATGTGGGAAGCTGGGTAGGCCCACACCAGCTCCCAAGGTTGGTGGGGCTGGATCTGCTATAACCAGCAGCAAATAAGCAAGAAGGAACTGCACACCTTGCTGGGCTTTCCTGCACCTGGCTAACAGCCCAGGGAAGCACTAAGCAGAGGCTCTCCTGCAGAGTTCTCCCCGGGGATTCTGAACCTGTGGGTCTCTCCAAAGGCGGGTGCCCATGTCAGCTGATCTCTGTTTGTACTTCTCTCCCCAGACAAATGCATGACGGATGCTGCGTAGGTGAGTAACTTCTCCAGAGGGTTGTGGCTTCTCTTCCACTGCTCCAGTCTGGAGAGCACAACAGAGGTGTTTGTACAGAGTGTGACTTTAGAGAGGCTCTCTGAGCAAATGCCATTCCCAGCCTGCTTGAGACATGGCCCACAGGCTCTGCTCCTCTGAACAGCAAAATGAACATAAAGTTCATCTCAACCTGCTCCCCAGCCTGGGCTGCTCCTCCAGTTCCTCCCTCAAGATTGTTCAGCCCTCACCCTAGATCCTCTCTCTAGAGAACCACACCCACCTCCCTTATTCTGGGTGGGGTAATGAATCACCCACCTCAGCGTTAGTAGAAGCCAGTTAACCCTTTCCCAGCCAGAGCAGCATCTACTTCCAGGCTGGGATGTGTCAAACACTGCCAGCCATTACACTTTCATGGAGTCTCATGCAGGGATCTCACAGTGACTTACAAGGAGTTTTTTTGTCCAGGCCCAAATTGGAGCTCACCAAAAATATGGCTGACCCCTCATTAAAGGGAGTGTGGGGTCCCTGGTGGCAGAGACAGGACTGGGCTGTAATGAACAATAAGGGATTCAGGGTTACTGGATGCTGACAGACCCCATGGGTCTTTCTGGCTCTGTGTCACCACCCAGGGTCTCCCTAAGTCCTGGCCTAGGCTAAGCCGCTATGGGAGAGGCTGCTGGCTATGCTACAAGCCCTGGGGTAAGCATTGGGAAGGTCATTGTGTAGAACTGATCAATGAAATTGTTTTTAATTGTTCACTTTATTAATATAACTTCATAAGTAAAGTTTTATGAATGAAAGTACATTCATTCATAAAATCAGGTACCCCAATAACTGGCTAACTGAGTTTCACTTTCAATCCAATTGCTGCTTAAAGCACTGAAACTTGCACTGTTTCAAAGTGGTAATGTCTGCTCACTGGTTGTCATTCATTGTACTTGTCTATATTGTAACTTCTGCTCACTGTTTGCCATTCCTTACACTTGTCCATGTTGTAACCCAAACTCCATTTTAAATTCTCCCAAACTCCATTTTAAAATGCTCACTCCATTTTTGCAAAACCCTGCTGTAATCTGATTAGTGTAGTTTAGATGTGTGAATGAGGTATGGATGGATGATGGAATCAACCTCCAGCCCCAGCCTGTCCTGATGAAATAAAGTGTAAACACCAATGGCTGAAGATGCAGGCAACAGCCCTGACAAAGCAAGAAGAGTCCACCCTCAAAAGAAAAGAACAATCGTACAATTGAAGGAACATCAAAGCCAGGTCCTAGGCTGAAAGTCGTGTCTGCAGTTGACGGGTGATCAATCACACTGAACCCAGAAGCAGCGTGACACAGCAAGACCTGTAGACTCTGGATTCAAACTAAAGCCTACAAACAAGATGGATGAGATGGAAGACTTTGGAGGGTAACATTCTGCTGCCAACATGGAAGGGCATCGGTGCATGCCCAACAGAGACCCAGCCCTTCCTTGTGCCCGGCTTTCCTGGCCAGTTAGCCGCCACAAGCTATGAACCCAAGCCACAAACTCAAGCTACATTCAGGACTGGTAACTATCTAGCAGCTGCAGAACATTTGATTTGTGTGTGTCTGTGTATACATAGGTATTAGATATTAGTTATTGGTCTTAAATCAAATTGTGTTATTATAATAAATGTGACATCATGTCTTGTCCCCTGAAACAATCCTGTGTAATTTTATCTGCATAACAATTCATGTCTAAGCAGCATTTCCTTTCTCCTCCCTTCCAGGTGGAGATTGCGAGGCACCATTCCAGGTTTCCTTCAGAGAGAAAGTGACATTCTGACCTGCCGGCACAGATCCTCCCCGCATAGATGTAGCAGTCTCTGCTCTGTAGCCTCGTGTGCCGCTGGGCTAGTGCTTCTGTGTATAACAGCCCCTCCTGAGTAAAACTGAGATGTAAAACACCAGCCTGTCGCTTCTCACGTGTTTCCTCAGAAAGGCTTTGGGCACATGGGCCATTGGGAGGGGGAGGTAACTGTGTGACTCAAGACCTGGCAATCTCGAGAAGTCAGATGGTCCAGGGAGATTTCCACCCTATGGATTTGAAATCTCCCCAGAACAGCTCAGTGGAATCTGGGATCATGGCATCCAAATCCCAGCCCTGACTCAGCCTCACACCCCAGCCCCAAGGGTCAGTCAAGCCCAAGTCTAATGAGGAGTAAGATGTGAGCAGTGCTCAAAGCTGGGGCTAAGAGTACAGGCTGAGCCAGTCTTGTCTGGGCAAACCCTCAGCCCTGCTCTGTGTAAATACGGGGCTGATGATTGTGACACCTCTTGGGAATACTGATTCCCTCAAGCCAACCACATTATTCCTCATCTCCCCCTGCTGTGGGTTCTGGTCTCTCCCCGGGGGGTGGGGGTGGGGCAGCACTGCAGATTCAGACCAGCTCCACCCACCCGCCCCAAGCCCTGTTCTTAACCTTGCTCCTGTGCAAAATGGGTTCCTAGCTGTTAAGGTTCCTTCCCCACTCTAAACTCCAGGGTACAGATGTGGGGACCTGCATGAAAGACCCCCTAAGCTTATTCTTACCAGCTTCGGTTAAAAACTTCCCCAAGGTACAAACTTTGTCTTGTCCTTGAACCCTATGCTGCCACCACCAAGCGTGTTAAACAAAGAACAGGGAAAGAGCCCACTTGGAGACATCTTCCCCCAGTCCCTACACCCCCTTTGTTGGGGAAGGATTGATAAAAATCCTCACCAGTTTGTACAGGTGAACACAGACCCAAACCCTTGGATCTTAAGAACAATGAAAAATCAATCAGGTTCTTAAAAGAAGAATTTTAATTAAAGAAAAGGTAAGAGAATCATCTCTGTAAAATCAGGATGGTAAATACCTTACAGGGTAATCAGATTCAAAACATAGAGAATCCCTCTAGGCAAAACCTTAAGTTACAAAAAGACAAAAAAATAGGAATATACATTCCATTCAGCACAGCTTATTTATCAGCCAGTTAAACAAAAGGAAATCTAACGCATTTCTAGCTAGATTACTTACTAACTTTACAGAAGTTCTGAGTCTGCATTCCTGATCTCTTACTGGCAAAAGCATCACACAGACAACCAGACCTTTAGTTTCCCCCCACTCCAGATTTGAAAGTATCTTGTCTCCTCATTGGTCATTTTGGTCAGGTGCCAGCGAGGTTATTTTAGCTTCTTAACCCTTTACAGGTGAAAGGGTTTTTCCTCTGGCCAGGAGGGATTTTATAGCACTGTATACAGAAAGGTGGTTACCCTTCCCTTTATTTTTAGGACACGCCCCCCTGCAAATCACAGATAGGGTGAAACGCTGGCTGTGATTTCTTCCTGGAGCTCTAGGAGAAAACAGAGTTAATAAGACACATGCACCTCTAGATATACTATCAAGTGTATAAAGACTAACAATATTTTCCACATCTCAAGGACGATTTTTACCAGATGATTCTGGGAAACTTTCATGGGAGAGTGCATCAGCCACTTTGTTAGAAGCTCCTGAGATATGTTGTATGTCGAAATCAAAATCTTGGAGAGCTAAAGTCCACCAAATAAGTTTTTTGTTAGTTCCCTTAGTGGTATGAAGCCATTGCAGTGAAGCATGGTCGGTTTGCAGGTGGAAACGCCGTCCCCAAACGTAAGGGCGTAGCTTTTCCAGAGCTTAGACAATGGCGTAACATTCCTTTTCACTGATTGACCAGTGCCTTTCCGTCTCAGACAGCTTCTTGCTGAGAAACACTACAGGATGGAACTCTTGATTCATTCCTTCCTGCACTAAAACTGCTCCCACACCACGCTTGGATGCATCTGTGGTTACTAGGAACAGATTTTCAAAGTCTGGGACCCTTAGCACAGGGTCAGACATGAGTATCGCTTTAAGCTGGTTAAAGGCCTTCTGACATTCTTCAGTCCACTGAACGGCATTTGGATGTTTCTTTTTGGTTAGGTCTGTCAGCGGGGCGGCGATTTGGCTGTATTGTGGTACAAATCGCCTGTAATATCCAGCCAAGCCGAAGAAGGATTGGACCTGTTTCTTTGACTTTGGGACAGGCCACTTTTGGATAGCATCCACTTTGGCCTGTAGGGGGTTGATAGTTCCTTGACCCACCTGGTGTCCAAGGTAAGTCACTCTGTTCAGGCCTATTTGATACTTCTTAGCCTTAACAGTTAGTCCTGCCTCCCTTATGCGCTCAAGGACTTTTTGTAGATGTTCCAGGTGTTTTGCCCAGGAATCCGAAAATATGGCCACATCGTCAAGGTAGGCGACTGCATATTCTCCCAATCCCGCTAGGAGACCATCTACAAGTCTTTGGAAGGTGGCGGGTGCATTTTGCAGCCCGAAAGGGAGCACATTAAATTCATACAGCCCGATGTGTGGTGAAGACTGACCTTTCCTTGGCGGATTCATCTAGCGGTACCTGCCAGTACCCCTTGGTTAAGTCCAAGGTAGAGAGGAACTGGGCCCGTCCCAGTTTCTCTAATAGTTCATCTGGGCGTGGCATTGGATAGTTGTCTTGGTGAGTCACAGCAGGTAGTTCATCCAAAAAGGTATCTCCCCATTGGGTTTGGGAACTAGAACCACTGGAGATGCCCATGCACTGCCAGAGGGGTGGATTACCCCCATCTGTAGCATATACCGGATCTCCCGTTCTAAAGCAGTTTTAGTTTGAGGAAACACCCAATAAGGTTGGACTCTAACTGGGCGAGCATTACCTGTGTCAATGGAGTGGTACGCTCTGAGAACGTCAGCACATAGCTAGTGCACAGCTCCTTGATCTGCTGTCACTGCATACGCTCAAGGGTCATGGAGAGGTTCACCTCTTTCACACCACCAGCACTTTTCCCTTCGTAGTAGACACCTTCAGGCCACTCAGCGTCATCTCCTCCCTGGGCTGTAAACTGACAAACCTTTAATTCTCTCAAATAAAAGCGCTGTAGAGAATTAATATGGTACACCTTAGGCTTTCAGTTGGAGGTGGGGAATGCTAGGAGATTATTAACAACTCCCAGGCGCTCTTGGACCGTGAATGGCCCTTCCCATGAGGCTTCCATTTTATGGGCCTGGAGCGCCTTTAAGACCATGACCTGGTCCCCTACTTTGAAGGAACGCTCTCTGGCATGTTTATCATACCAGGCTTTTTGCTCTTTTTGAGAATCCTGTAGGTTTTCTTTAGCAAGGGCTAAAGAGGTTCAGAGGGTGTTTTGTAAGTTAGTTACAAAGTCCAGAATGTTAGTTCCTGGAGAAGGTGTAAACCCCTCCCATTGCTGCTTCACCAACTGTAATGGCCACTTAACCTCACGGCCATATACAAGTTCAAATGGGGAAAACCCTAAACTGGGATGTGGTACAGCTCTGTAGGCAAAGAGCAACTGCTGCAACACTAGGTCCCAATCATTGGAGTGCTCATTTACGAATTTACGTATCATGACCCCCAAAGTTCCATTAAACTTCTCCACCAGGCCATTTGTTTGATGATGGTAAGGGGTGGCAACCAAGTGATTCACCCCATGAGCTTCCCAAAGGCATGCCATAGTTCCTGCCAGGAAATTAGTTCCTGCATCTGTGAGGATGTTGGAGGGCCAACCTACCCTGGCAAAAATGTCCGTTACTGCCTGACACACACTTTTAGCCCCTGGTGTTGCTTAGAGCTACTGCTTCCGGCCACCGGGTGGCAAAATCCATGAAAGTCAGTATCTACTGTTTTCATCTGGGTGTCTTTTTCAGAAAAGGACCCAAAATATCCACAGCTACTCGCTGAAATGGAGCCTCAATGATGGGGAGTGGCTGGAGGGGGGCTTTGACCTGGTCTTGGGGTTTTCCCACTCTTTGGCATACCTCACAAGACCGGACATAGGTAGAAACATCCTTGCCCATTCCCTCCCAGTGGAATGACCTCCCCAAACGGTCTTTGGTCTTGTTCACCCCAGCATGGCCACTAGGATGATCGTGGGCTAAGCTCAAGTGCTTTACCCGGTACTTAGTCGGAACTACCAACTGTCTCTGAGGATGCCAGTTTTCCTGGTGTCCACCAGAAAGAGTTTCCTTGTATAAAAGTCCTCTTTCTACAACAAACCTGGATCGATTAGATGAGCTGAGAGGCGGTGGGTTGCTCCATGCCACTGTCCAAGCTCTCTGGAGGCTTTCATCTGCTTTCTGTTCAGTCTGGAACTGTTCCCTTGATGCTGGAGACATCAGTTCCTCATTGGATTGTGGACCTAGGCTTGGTCCCTCTGGAAGCGATGTAGGGGATGGGGCTGTTTCCGTTGACTGTGAACCGCTCTCCGCTGCTGCACTATGTTGGGGTTCAGGCTCCGGCTGAGCCTCTTGTGTAGGGTTATCTGCTGCTGCCAGTGCAGGTTTGGTGGGGCCCTCTGGTGTTGGGGTTGCAAGTACTGGATTCAGTGCTGGCAATGGGTCTGGTGCTGGTTGTTCCGCCGGTTCCGGTTCTGAGACTAGCTCTGTCTGGGTCTCTGGGACTGGATCCACTACTGCTGTTGCAGACGTTGGCCTGGGGTCCAGTTCCATCACCTCTGACCGGGTCCTGGTAGAAGTTTCTGGAACAGAGCTAGGTGTGGCAGCTTGCTTAGCCTGGCTGTGGGTGACCATTCCCACCCTCTTGGCCTGCTTCACATGATTGGCCAAGTCTTCCCCCAACAGCATGGGGATGGGACTGCAAAAGACTGCAAAAGTCCATGTTCCTGACCAGCCCTTGTACTGGACCAGCAACTTGGCTGTAGGCAAGTCAAAAGAGTTTGACTTGAAGGGTTGAATCATCACTTGGATCTCTGGGTTGATTAAATTGGGGTCCAGTAAGGAAGCATGGATAGCCCACACTTGTGCTCTGGTGACCCTCCATGCGGTGACCTTCTTTCCACCCACACTCACAGTTTCCCTCCGCTCCGAGGGTATCTGGGAGGTATCTGGGCCTGAGGACC